GGCTGAAAGATTAGCGGAAGTCGTCTGGAACTCGCAAAGATCTATGGGAAACTCGCAAAGATCTATGGGAAACTCGCAAAGATCTATGGGAAACTCGCCTGTATTTGGGCATCGTCTGGTCCTCCCGGTTCTGCGCAGTGGATGATCGCCCATAATGCGTGTGTGGGTCTCACACCGGGTCTCACGCACGTGCACAGAGGGGCTCGGCCGCGCTCTGACCAATCAGAGCAGTTCATCAGAGCGGGAGTTAGAGCGAGAGCCAGACGAGCAGAGTTTGTGGCACTAAAGTGTGGATTTAAACAAAACCGAAGGATTTAAGAAGAAAAAAAGTTCAGGATGACAAGGGACACTAAAATCCCCACAAAATCCGACCTTTATGAAAGCTGTAGGTTCTCTGTCAGCTGAGGTTGAGCTGTTTTAATATGCATTGAGTTCTATGGGGAAAATGTCTGGGTAGCCCGCGTGAATTTAGTCTGGTTCAGTCTGCAGTACCGCGAGAATCCCCCGAGCCCATGAGTTATTCAGCTACAAGCTAGTAATACCCTATCCAGTTAATATAATACATCCCCAGGCCTGTGGGGGTGGACCCAGAAAGAGAGTTATCCAATGCTTTTGTACGGCCTCTTCTTTCCTCTCGAAAACGGCTTTACAGGATGGTTCAAAAGTCGGCTCTTGGCCCAAAACTTCCTTCCACATGAGGGGAGTATATATTTTTGGACCTGTCTAGTTTAGCCGCTGTAGATTTCAGAAGGCACGCATTAAATGAATGGGGCTATGTTCGTTAATATTTACCATCTATGGGTAAGACCAGGCTAATGCAATGCAAGTTTTGCAAAAAAATTGTACAGAGGCAATCAGCAGTTTGAACAAAGCTGAAACAGCCGGACACAAAAAACGTTTGTGTTCGTCCACAGCTCACGATCTCATGCCTGCAGCATGAGAATCAAATCAAATCAAATCAATTTTATTTGTATCGCCTGAAATCACAACAACAGTCGTCTCGAGGGGCGTCACAGAACCGCCAGCTCCCAAGGGTTTCGAGTCCCTCCAACGCGTCCATGAAAAAGACAGAGGGACAACAGGTGAACAGCAACACACAAATCAAATGTTTAGAATTTACGACAAATTAACTGTGAAAAACGAGGACTATTTATCCTGCAGTCTGTGTATGAGGCGGGTTAAAAACAGGTTAAAGGTTTGGAGCATCATTTAAAGTGCAGTCACAACAGTGCATTAAAAACAGTTGTGTATGTACGGTGCATTAAAAACAGGGACAGCATGTAGGGAGAATGTAGGGACTTTGGCCCAATCGGCTGAATTGATTGAGTAGCAGCCTGTAACACGGGACGATCTCGACCTTCCATTCAATCTACTAAGGCGAGACAAATAACCCCTGATGTGTGCTATAACATGTTCGCTCAATTGACTGATGAGACACTTTTTTAATTTTGAGTTTATTTTATCTTTTTTTTTGCAACACTGGGAGTAATCCTATGATTTGGAAACAGTCTAGCCCTTTAACCCTTCAAGTTTCAGATTAACATTACAGTTTGGAAAAGATTTTGGAACGCATGGTAACAACGAGATGAAGATAGTCTTAGAAACCCAGAAATTGCTCTCACTCACCAAAGCAGCTTTTGGGAAGGTAGAATACAAGATATTTTTGAGATATTGGGACACCCTTTGTGCCAAAAACTTAAATGATCTGATTCTTTAGTCGTCACAAAGACATTTCTCTCAAATTATATGGACAAGCTCTAGAACAGGTAGGACATTTGGGTGTCCTCATATTGACACGATGCAAAATAAATCCAAAAAAGTTAAGAAATGATTGCGTTGCTTTAGGACTGGGGAGGCAGCAGGAGATCACTGTTCAATATGTACTGGGCTTTTATACGTGCCACTCTTGATTATGGGTGTTTTGCCTTCCTGTCTGCTGCTGAGACTACCTAGAAAAAAATCTTAATCTGGAACAAGCTCCAGCCCTACACATCTGCTGCAGTGCGCAGGGACAGGACAGTGCAGGACATCTGTTTCTTCAATGCGGGTTGACCTAGGAGACAAACCAAAAGGCTGCCGCAATTTCTTGTACGAGAACTGATTGATGAACATTCTGAGCATGTGTTTGTTCTGACCAATGGATTTAAATTGAGTGCACTGGTTCTGCTTTTTTATATCAGAGCTTGTCATAGCAGTGAGGAGAATCTAGGAGAAGATCCCAAAGCACAAGAAAGGCACTCATTTGAGCTTGTTGACTAAACAAAGTGAAGTTCTGAAGAAATATATTTTAACATTTTATTTTTTTTGCATACAAATGTGTTCTTCTAATAAGCTGATAAGTTAGAATACAATATAAGTTTTAGTAATGAGATGCATAACTTCATTTACCACATACAGCAGGCGCAGGTTCCCTCATGCAGCTGTTTTTACCTTCTGCATTATGTTTTGAAGCTCATTCCACTTTCTGTTTTTGTTCTTCCATAAAACAAGTTATTCTTCAATAAGATAATAAAATCTTGTTCTGATCTATGATTTAAAAAAGATAAACATGTCGAAATATCTATTAAAATATAAAGCCTTTTTCTTACGACTTTTGTTTACATTTATGCTTGGATATAATACAATTTGATTACATCAGGAATCATTCCCTGTTAGCTTCTAATAAGGAATATTTCCCTAATTACTCATCTTATCTTCCCAATTGTTCTGATTGGGAGCAAAAGCCTCTGGAGAGGTTTGGGTCATCCTCAAATCCCACTCCTACTTTAATCCCACAGCAGGAGGCAGCGATGAGCATCGCATTAGAAAACAGATCATTAATCCTGCTTAATACGTGATTGAAATTTACCTGAGGACCAGGCCTAGCAAGAGACCAGAGAGAGACCAGTGGGAAACCAGAGAGAGACTAGCGAGAGACCAGAGAGAGACCAGAGAGAGACCAGACAGAGACCAGAGAGAGACCAGACAGAGACCAGAGAGAGACAGGGAGAGAACAGACAGAGAACAGAGAGAGAACAGAGAGAGACCAGAGAAAGACCAAAAAGAGGACAGAAAGAGACCAAGAGAAACCAGAGGAAGGGAGACCAGAGAGAGACCAGAGAGAGACCAGAGAGAGACCAGAGAGAGACCGGAGAGAGACCGGACCGGAGAGAGACCGGAGAGAAATCAAACCAAAGCGAGGACAGAAAGAGACCAGAGACCATAGAGATAACAGAAAGAGACCAGAGAGAGACCAGTGGAAGGGACCAGAGAGAGACTATGACATTACATTTTTCTGGGAGCCCACTGGGTTTCACATTCTAAAATACGAAATGACAAAGTTAATTGTCTCATTATCATTTCAGTGCCATATCATCTCAATTAACTTACAATACACACAAGTGAAATCATTTCTCTTCAATAGGATCCAGATAGAACCCCCCTTGAGGCAAGCAGACCCCCCAGAGGGAAGCAGACCAGGACCTTCTGCACACTCAGCATTTGTGGGGTGCAAGCTGCGTACGGACCCGGATCAGACGGACTTACCAGGATTAGGCCAAGACTGACAACTTCATTAGCTGATCCCACACAGCATGTCTAGGCAGAGAAAGACCAGCGAAACCTGAGAGAGACCAGAGAGACCCATCCTAAAACTTGTACTTCTCAGCAAGAAGGTCCTGGGTACAATTCCACCTCCAGCCAGAGCCTTTATGAGTGGAGTTTGCATGCTCTTCCCATGCTTGTGTGAATGTCTTCAGGTGCTCTAGTTTCCCCCACCAGTAAAACATGTGCCTGAGGTCAAATCCTATAGCTTCGGCATGACCGAGCCAACCTGAGTCCTGGACACGAGGACGCATTTGCTTGATCTTTTTGACTCTGTCTGTGAACGGTATTCCATTAATTGAATTCAAACTATTTGTGTATCACCCTAAATCACAGCAGTCGTCTCAGAGAACTTTAAAAAGATATGCATTCACAAACAACAGATTAGAGAAACGCAGGGAATGCAATAATAACAAACCCACAGGAGCCATTGGTCCATAGAGAGAGTGAAGACCAATGCCCAGAAATATTAATAAAGGTCCCGGATCATCAATGTCTTTAGACTCGAAGCAACGACCAAAACCTGCAGGGGGGGGAAGTGTTTTTGGTCCTGATTGTGATACCTTTAGTCATTCAGCACTTGTCGTTGACCTTCTATTCTTGTATGATTTTTGGGGCTTCTGACTTGAGTCTTGAGTGACTCCGGTTCGCCCTTTGGACAAATGGCTCTGGTCCTGTCCGCAGTTTGTCTCTGTGGAAAAAATGTACGCGGCGTTGAGAGTGCGCTGTCCGTGGTGCTGAAAGAGGGGACCTGCTCGAAACAGATCACTTGAACACATCATGTGTCGTTTTGAGTTTTATGATTGTCTGTTTTCATGTTATGTTCTGAAAAACTGGAACTGTTTATTTTAATTTATTTATAGATTTATGTAGATAGATATTTACACAGAGTAGGGTCACACTCAGCACCTACTGTACATGACACAGATGTAGGAGGTTTGAGTGATGATCCAGGATATTTCTGCATATTTATTAACATTTCAGGACAGCGGTTATCTTACTCCCTATGAACCAATGGCTTCCTTGTGTTTGTTATTTTCAAATGTTCTGGGTTTGATCTGTTGAATACGAAATGATGTGGTTTTTACGACCAGAGAGAGCGAGACCAGAGAGATACTTGATCCATTGACACATTTTCTTCCTGTTGTCGTAGTAGCCATGATCAGGTAGAACTGCGACCGTAACCCCCTCCCCTCCTCACGTCCCGTACGCGCCTGTCACGTGACCGCCTCCCGTGCCTCTGCCGCACCGCCCCCCTCCCTCATCCACCCGGACACACGCGTATATTTCACATCCCTTTTCTCCGTTCGCTCCAAGAGGATGCCGCGCCTGCTTTGGTCCCGCGCGGCCGCCCCGTAGACCGGACACCTCCCCCTCCACTGCTCCCGTCTCCCCTGTCCGGTCTGTTGTTTGCCGCCATGTTGACGCGCTCGGGGCCCGTGCGCACAGGTCACCACGGGGGCCCCTGGGTGAGCCTGCTGTGGGGGCCCTTGCTGCTGCTGCTGCTGTGCGCGTCGTCAGTCTGTGCAAACTACTCGTCCCAGAGCGGGGAGTGCAGAGGCAAGGGCCGCGACTGCACCGGTAAGAGAGCACCGTGAACCGGGGGCATGTTGTCAAAGCATTATTATGACAATTTTAGCGTCTTAAAGCTACTGATAGAATGGAGTGTCATGTGTGAGAGAGGTGAAGGGAGACCAGTCAATGCAAGTCTCACGCACAGGTCTAAAAGCTGGGGTACCTAACTTTCACCCACAACAAATACCTAAAGAAGAACGAGTGTTGGTGTCCTTCAAGATTTAAGAATTTATTTGCCATTTGCAGTAAAACCACATTGGAAAAACTGTGCAAGACTATCCCTTTAGTCCATGTAGTGAGGATCAGTTTTTCAGCACAAAGATGATGTATGACTGATGTATTAAATGCAATTATTTATTTTTTAGAAGAAAATACTAATAGTAAAATAAATCCTGTTTTTAATAGTTATATGATTCTTTTTCCACTAGCTCCTTATGTGCAGCAGTAAAAATCATATTCAAACTATAATACGGTTCAAACAATTACAATGTCGCAGCATAATGTGAGTGACGTAACTCTGCTTTCTGTTTCATAAAGAGTTGAATAAAGTCATGTTTGTCCAACATCGTTTAAAAACATCTCAGTTACCTTTATTCAAAGTCTGAAGAAAACTGTGGTTTGTGTGCACTATTGTGATTTGTTCTGAGGACTACTGCAGTCCTCCTCCAGTCCTGCTCCTGCACAGCTTTTGACAGCTACAGCAGTGCTTAGACTTGCTTAATTCCTGCTTCAGACCTACTTTATTCTTGCTATAGTCCTGCTCAAGACCTGCTTTAGACTGCTTTAGTCCTGCTTTAGTACTGCTTTAGTCCTGCTTTAGTCCTGCTTTAGTACTGCTTTAGTCCTGCTTTAGTACTGCTTTAGACCTGCTTTAGTCCTGCTTTAGACCTACTTTGTTCTTGCTATAGTCCTGCTCTAGACCTGTTTTAGTCCTGCTCTAGACCTGTTTTAGTCCTGCTCTAGACCTGCTTTAGACTGCTTTAGACCTGCTTTAGTCCTGCTTTAGTACTGCTTTAGACCTGCTTTAGTCCTGCTTTAGACCTACTTTATTCTTGCTTTAGTCCTGCTCTAAACCTGCTTTAGACTGCTTTAGACCTGCTTTAGTCCTGCTTTAGTACTGCTTTAGACCTGCTTTAGTCCTGCTTTAGTCCTGCTCTAGACCTGCTTTAGACTGCTTTAGACCTGCTTTAGTCCTGCTTTTGTACTGCTTTAGACCTGCTTTAGTCCTGCTTTAGTCCTGCTTTTGTACTGCTTTAGACCTGCTTTAGTCCTGCTTTAGTCCTGCTTTAGTCCTGCTTTAGACCTGCTCTAAACCTGCTTTAGACTGCTTTAGTCCTGCTTTAGTCCTGCTTTAGTCCTGCTTTAGACCTGCTTTAGTCCTGCTTTAGACCTGCTTTAGGCCTGTTTTAGTCCTGTTTTAGTCCCGTTTTAGTCCTGCTTTAGACCTGCTTTAGTCCTGCTTTAGTCCTGCTTTAGACCTGCTTTAGACCTACTTTGTTCTTGCTATAGTCCTGCTTTTGTACTGCTTTAGACCTGCTTTAGACCTGCTTAAGTCCTGCATTAGTCCTGCTTTAGACCTGCTCTAAACCTGCTTTAGACTGCTTTAGTCCTGCTTTAGTCCTGCTTTAGTCCTGCTTTAGACCTGCTTTAGTCCTGCTTTAGACCTACTTTGTTCTTGCTATAGCCCTGCTCTAGACCTGCTTTAGACTGCTTTAGACCTGCTTTAGTCCTGCTTTTGTACTGCTTTAGACCTGCTTTAGACCTGCTTAAGTCCTGCATTAGTCCTGCTTTAGACCTGCTCTAAACCTGCTTTAGACTGCTTTAGTCCTGCTTTAGTCCTGCTTTAGTCCTGCTTTAGACCTGCTTTAGTCCTGCTTTAGACCTACTTTGTTCTTGCTATAGCCCTGCTCTAGACCTGCTTTAGACTGCTTTAGACCTGCTTTAGTCCTGCTTTTGTACTGCTTTAGACCTGCTTTAGACCTGCTTAAGTCCTGCATTAGTCCTGCTTTAGACCTGCTCTAAACCTGCTTTAGACTGCTTTAGTCCTGCTTTAGACCTGCTTTGGTCCTGCTTTAGACCTGCTTTAGTCCTGCTTTAGACCTGCTTTAGGCCTGTTTTAGTCCTGTTTTAGTCCTGCTTTAGACCTGCTTTAGTCCTGATTTAGTCCTGCTTTAGACCTGCTCTAAACCTGCTTTAGACCTGCTTTAGTCCTGCTTTAGACCTGCTTTAGTCCTGCTTTAGCCTTTCTTTAGACCTGTTTTAGTCCTGCTTTAGACCTGCTTTAGACATGCTTTAGTCCTGCTTTAGACCTGCTCTAAACCTGCTTTAGACCTGCTTTAGTCCTGATTTAGTCCTGCTTTAGACCTGCTTTAGACCTACTTTGTTCTTGCTATAGTCCTGCTCTAGAGCTGCTTTAGACTGCTTTAGACCTGCTTTAGTCCTGCTTTTGTACTGCTTTAGACCTGCTTTAGACCTGCTTAAGTCCTGCATTAGTCCTGCTTTAGACCTGCTCTAAACCTGCTTTAGACTGCTTTAGTCCTGCTTTAGTCCTGCTTTAGACCTGCTTTAGTCCTGCTTTAGACCTACTTTGTTCTTGCTATAGCCCTGCTCTAGACCTGCTTTAGACCTGCTTTAGTCCTGCTTTTGTACTGCTTTAGACCTGCTTTAGACCTGCTTAAGTCCTGCTTTAGACCTGCTCTAAACCTGCTTTAGACTGCTTTAGTCCTGCTTTAGACCTGCTTTGGTCCTGCTTTAGTCCTGCTTTAGACCTGCTTTAGGCCTGTTTTAGTCCTGTTTTAGTCCTGCTTTAGACCTGCTTTAGTCCTGATTTAGTCCTGCTTTAGACCTGCTCTAAACCTGCTTTAGACCTGCTTTAGTCCTGCTTTAGACCTGCTTTAGTCCTGCTTTAGTCCTGCTTTAGTCTTTCTTTAGACCTGTTTTAGTCCTGCTTTAGACCTGCTTTAGACATGCTTTAGTCCTGCTTTAGACCTGCTTTAGCCCTGCTCTAGTCTTTCTTTAGACCTGTTTTTGTCCTGCTTTAGACCTGCTTTAGTCCTGATTTAGTCCTGCTTTAGACCTGCTTTAGACCTGCTTTAGACCTGCTTTAGTCCTGCTTTAGTCCTGCTTTAGCCCTGCTTTAGTCTTTCTTTAGACCTGTTTTTGTCCTGCTTTAGACCTGCTTTAGTCCTGATGTAGTCCTGCTTTAGACCTGCTCTAAACCTGCTTTAGACTGCTTTAGACCTGCTTTAGTCCTGCTTTAGTCCTGCTTTAGTCCTTCTTTAGTCCTGCTTTAGTCCTGCTTTAGTCTTTCTTTAGACCTGCTTTAGTCCTGATTTAGTCCTGCTTTAGACATGCTTTAGTCCTGCTTTAGACCTGATTTAGTCCTGCTTTAGTCCTGCTTTAGTCCTGCTTTAGACCTGCTTTAGCCCTGCTTTAGCCCTGCTTTAGCCCTGCTTTAGTCTTTCTTTAGACCTGTTTTAGTATTTCTTTAGACCTGTTTTTGTCTTGCTTTGGACCTGTTTTAGTCCTGCTTTAGTCCTTTCTCTGCTTCAGACCCATATATCATACTGAGTTTTGTAAATGCACAGATACAAACATGTTGTATCTGACCTGTTTCACTTTATTTAAACATATTCTCTGAAACCTCACAACACGGAGCAGACAGAGACAGAGAGTGAGACACGTTTTCTTTGTGTTTGTGGAAAGTTAGTTTTGCTTCTGTGTTTTATCCTTTTGCAATGTGGAGGTGTTTGGACAAATGAGTACTGAATAAAGGTTTGATTTCAATTCATTCTTGTACAGCCCTAAATCACAACAGCAGTTGCCTCAGAGGACTTAAATCGATGGAATTCGCCAACACAGATCAGAGAATAAAACAATTCAAACACAAGAAATGCAATGATAGAAAAACTCAGAGCATTTGGTCCATTAAGGGGCATTTGACCAATGTCCATAAAAAATGTTTGAACAGATAAGATTTAGAGATAAATAAATCATAAAAATGAGGTTCAACCAGTGGAGGCGGGTCCCGACTCAAAAAAGTGGCCAAAATGAAGTGCGCTGACATGCTTGCAATACCACCCCGGGCCAATGGTGGTGTAGCCGGAAAAAGAACTAGCCAATGCTAATGTATGTATCTTCTTACCTCTTAAAAACGTCTTGAAAACATGGCCCAACTCTACGTTCCAGAAGTGTGTCAATGCTGAGGGGAACGTCATTTTGGACCAGTCTAGTTTACTTGCTGTGAAATTTTGAAGGCACTCGTCAGTCGTCAAATGAATGGAGCTGCCGGCTGACGCATGCGCAGATGCGTTTTTTAACATTTTCCAGCCCCCGCGGCCATATTTAAACTGCCCATAGAAGGCAAAAGGGGTGGCACGTTAGTTTCAACGGCGGAGATAGGCCTGACTACGTCCGTTAATATTTACAGTCTATGTGTTCAAACATGCCATGAAAGCGTTGAGAGTTTCCAGGCTCATTGGGTGAAAATGACTGCAGGCTGTTTAGGTGAATGTGGTCAAGTCTAAAGGCTGATGTAAAACACGTTCCACTGAGACTGATCCTCAGACTATGACGTCATGGACAGAGCTCCACGTGGATGGAGATAAAAACAACTCCAGATCTGTGTTTGATGAAGGACTATGTAGGTAGAACTCAATAAAGACATTTTTGCAGAAAGCGTCTTAAGGTACTGTCAACATCCAGTGTACTCTATCTGGCATCTCTCTCTGGTGTCCCTTTCTGGTGGCTCTTTTTGGTCTTTCTCTGGTCTCTCTCTTTGGTCTTACACTGGTGTGACTCTCTCCGGTGTCACTCTCTCTGGTATCTCTGGTCTCTCTCTCTGGTCTCTCTGTCTGGTCTCTCTCCCTGGTCTTTCTCTGGTCTCTCTCTTTGGTCTTACTATGGTGTAACTCTCTCTGGTGTCACTCTCTCTGGTGTCACTCTCTCTGGTGTCACTCTCTCTGGTCTCTCTCTCTGGTCTCTGTGATCTGCTATGTAAAGTGAGAACGAATGTGGATCAATATTCCTACTGCCACACGAGAGGAAGACAGTCTGGCTTTACCTACGCACACACTCATAGACGCACACATGCACACATGCACACATAGATGCACACGTGCACACACATGTACACACACAAATACACTCACACGCACATGCACACGTCAGCTCTTTTATTAACGCACTGGCCTGTTTCCGTGGTTACAGAGAAAACAATGGGACTAGAGCATAAATAATAGAAAGCTCTGGGATTCATACCAGATCAATATTCCAGACAGGAAAGTGTAAAGCTGGTTTGTTAGCCCTGCTTTAGACTTGCTTTAGACTTGCTTTACCTGCTTTAGACCTGCTTTAGTTCTGCTTTAGACCAGCTTTAGACCTTCTTTAGACCTGCTTTAGGCCTGCTTTAGACCTGCTTTATACCTTCTTTAGACCTGCTTTAGACCTGCTTTATACCTTCTTTAGACCTGCTTTAGGCCTGCTTTAGACCTGCTTTATACCTTCTTTAGACCTGCTTTAGGCCTGCTTTAGACCTTCTTTAGACCTGCTTTAGGCCTGCTTTAGACCTACTTTAGATCTACCCTAGACCTACTTTAGTCCTGCTTTAGACCTACTTTAGATCTACCCTAGACCTACTTTAGTCCTACTTTTTGTCTTGCTTTAGGCCTGCTTTAGACCTGCTTTATTTCTGCTTTAGTCCAACTGTAATCCTGCTTAAGTTTTGGTTTAGACCTTCTTTAGTCATGCTTTAGTCCTGCTTTAGACCTTATTTAGTCCTGTGTAATGTGGTTTTCTGTCTGCAGACCTGTCCCAGAGGAAGAGTGACCTCCGTGTGTGCGATGAGTGGAGCTGTCGTTACGGCGGCGTGTGCAAAGAAGACGGCGGGCAGCTCAAGTGTGTGTGCCACTTCCAGGTGAGGAGCTCATTCACACTCCTCAGAGTAACCATGGGCATCTTGACTGCATCTGTGATCAGTGCAGTACTTGTTAGAGCTGTGAGTTTGGGAAGACGGCTGAGTCTGGTTGATTTGGTCCCGGAGGTCAGCTGGTTCCTGAGGTCTGCTGGTCCCTGGGGTCAGCTGGTCTCTGAGGTCTGCTGGTCTCTGAGGTCAGCTGGTCTCTGAGGTCAGCTGGTCTCTGAGGTCTGCTGGTCTCTGAGGTCTGCTGGTCCCTGAGGTCTGCTGGTCCCTGGGGTCAGCTGGTCTCTGAGGTCTGCTGGTCTCTGAGGTCTGCTGGTCCCTGAGGTCAGCTGGTCTCTGAGGTCTGCTGGTCTCTGAGGTCTGCTGGTCCCTGAGGTCAGCTGGTCTCTGAGGTCTGCTGGTCTCTGAGGTCTGCTGGTCTCTGAGTTCTGCTGGTCTCTGAGGTCTGCTGGTCTCTGAGTTCTGCTGGTCTCTGAGGTCAGCTAGTCTCTGAGGTCTGCTGGTCTCTGAGGTCTGCTGGTCTCTGAGGTATGCTAGTCTCTGAGGTCTGCTGGTCTCTGAGTTCTGCTGGTCTCTGAGGTCTGCTGGTCTCTGAGTTCTGCTGGTCTCTGAGGTATGCTAGTCTCTGAGGTCTGCTGGTCCCTGAGGTCAGCTGGTCTGCCTCTCTGCAGAGGTGACTGTGTGACCGCAACGGTCTGAGGCCTCAGCTATAATTGAATATAGATTTAAATCAGATACACAGTTAGCTGTATGTGTGCGAGTGTATTTATGTGTGTGCGTGCATGTGTGTGTATACGTGCGTTTATGTGTGTGTACTGTTTGTTACAGTGTGTGTCTGTGTGTTTGTTGTGTTGTCAACAGTGTGTTTTGTGTTGCTAACTGTGTATGTTGTTCACAGTGTATCTTGTGTTGCTAACAGTGTCCGTGTGTTGTGTTACAGCGTTTGTGTGACAGTGTGTGTTGTGTGACCGTGTTTGTGTTATAATGTGTGTGTGAGTTGTGTTATACTGTTGTGTTACAGTATGTGTGTGTGTGTATGTTGTGTTACAGTGTGATAAGGACTACACTCCTGTGTGCGGCTCTAATGGAGATACTTACCAGAACGAGTGTTACAGACGCCAGGCCTCCTGCAAACAGCAAAGACTCATCAGCAAGTTCTCTGAGGGCCCCTGTAACCACGGTAACACTCACCACCCCTGTAACTCTGGCCAAAGTGACAACCCCTGTAACCACGGTAACACTGACCACCCCTGTAACCATGGCAACACAGGCCGCTCTTGTAACTACGGCAACCCTGACCACCCCTGTAACTCTGGTAACATGACCACCCTATAACCACGGTAACACTGTAGCCACTGTAACCACGGTAACACTGTAACCACTGTATTACCGTATTACTGTATTACTGTATCTACTGTAACATTGTAACCACGGTAATTCTGACCCCCCTGTAACCACGGTAACACTGACCCTTTTGTAACCACAATAACACTGCTTTATTTAAAAGGCTGGCGAAACAGCACACGTAGGAGGCCGCAGTTCCTGTGGTAGAAGTCTGGAGCACAATGCACACTTGACTGAAAACTGCATCACTGCGAAAATACACATGGTCATATTTTGGGCTTGTAGCTTTATACACAGGAAACATACTCGTGCTGATAGTGTTAGATCCAGATCAGCTCCACACGTCCGCAACAGAAGTATGAAACATAAGAAAGGTGGCGCAGATTTTACAGGAATTCTGGATATTGTTTTTTTTCTTTCAAGTCTCACGTCTGAAACAAAGACCACAGACTCCACCGTCGCCAATGCACTGCTTCCCCTGATTGAGTGGAAGATCAATGTTCATTTGGAGCCATAATGATCAGTGGATTAAACATGAGCTGCAGCTGCTGCTGCTGCTGCCACTACTGCTGCTACTGCTGCTGTTACTGCTGCTACTGCTGCTGCTACTGCTGCTGTTACTGCTGCTGCTGCCACTGCTGCTGCTGCCACTACTGCTACTGCTGCTGTTACTGCTGCTGCTGCTGCTGCTGCCACTACTGCTGCTGCTGCCACTACTGCTGCTACTGCTGCTGCTACTGCTGCTGCTACTGCTGATATCCACACTTTCTATAATGTTTCAAACAATTTTTAACCCGTGAATAGAGCACTCTGTTCTGAATCGGCCCCATATGTTTTCATTAACGTGATATCATATCTTCAGTAGAAAATGTATGTGGAACAAGTATGAAGTAGCTCCCTAAGTTGCCACCAGAGAGCTGCAAACACAGCCATGTGATGGTGAAGAACATCTTTTCACCTGAGAAATGAAATAGGAGCTTTTAGACAGGGGCTGGAGTTATGTTTTTGACAGAAGTACCCGATATTAGAGTGGATGGAGCTAAACACAACTCGAAGTCTGTGAGATTTTGCCCTCTAAGTTCTAAGATATTAAACAACAAGTAAAAGGTCAAAATTCATCCATCCCTTTTTTTCTTCTTCTTCATCCGTTGCCGGGTCGCGGGGGCAGCAGACGCCCAGACTTCCCTATCCACACACACTTCCTCCAGCTCGTCCTGGGGGACCCCAAGGCGTTCCCAGGCCAGCTGAGAGACATACAGTAGTCCTCCAGCGTGTCCTGGGTCTTCCGCGGGGCCTCGTCCCGGGGGACATGCCCGGAACACCTCCCCAGGGAGGCGTCCAGGAGGCACCTCAACTGGTTCCTCTCGACAAAGGGAGCAGCGGCTCTACTCCGAGCCCCTCCAGTGTGACTGAGCTCCTCACCCTATCTCAAAGGGAGCAGCCACTCTGCGGAGGAAGCTCATTTTGAGCGCTTGTATCCACGATCTCGTTCTTTCGGTCATTACCCAAAGCTCATGACCATAGGTGAGGGAGGGAATGACCTTGTACCTCCTGCTACAAGTGTTCCATATGATCCTGACTCGGTCCTCCACAACATGACCACAGTGTGCCATCGGATGCACTGGTGGAGCAGCCCACAGCTCAAACAGGCTCTCATTCAACCATTTTCAAATAATAATTACATAAATAATAAGATAAGATCATTTTATTTCTTCATACTTCCTGTTGGATGCTTTGGTCTGGCGGTCCTCCCCCTGGGCTGCTGAGCACTTCTTTTATGGGCTGCTAAACGCCTTTTTACTGCAATTTTAAGGTCGCTCCATTATTATTCACCTGTATGCATATATTAATACATTCTATCTATTGGCCCAATATATCTGTCGACTGTTTGACATAATATAGCGTATATTTCTTCAAACATGAATGAACTCACCTCTTCAGGAGTGCGTGTTACAGCCCCCACGCTGTTTACAGATGTCGTCATCTCTTTCTATATTTTGTTTTTTGAGCCTCTTGAGGCCACGTTTGAGGCTTCCCTAATAGCAAGACTTTTTTTTCCCACTTTGTTCATAATGGTCTCAATCTCCTGCTCCTTTTCTTGGCCGTTTCCTCTCAATTGTCGAAAAAACGGGGCGTGAAACAGGCGGTTGCTGCATATTTATAGGCGTGACTTTCAACAGCAGCAGCTGCATATGCTCGGATCTGGGTGGATCTCACACATTCATAAATGCCCCATTGGATCGTGCATATTTGGAATATACACCCAAAATATACACCCTTTTCTGCGTACGTTTCATAAATGAGGGCCAATGTATTTGTGTATTGTCCTAAATTGCAACAGCTGTCGTCTTGGAGGACTTAACAAAGTTGTGGATTCACCAACAACAGATCAGAATATCATACAGGTCGTACGCAGGAAAGAAATACAATAATAACAAACACATAGGAGCCATTGGTTCAAAGGGAGCAGGATGACCACTATCCAGAAATGTCCCGGCTCAACACTTTCCTTAGAACTTTCTGCATCAGCAAGGAACATCCCAAAAACCCAGCGGCAAAAAGTGCAGAAACTCGGGGAGGCCCCTGTTGACGGGTCTGCTCCCACGGATGGACAGATTGTAGATCCAGGACTGAGGCTGTAGATCCAGATCCAGGACTGAGGCTGTAGATCCAGGACTGAGGCTGTAGATCCAGGACTGAGGCTGTAGATCCAGGACTGAGGCTGTAGGTCCAGGACTGAGGCTGTAGATCCAGGACTGAGGCTGTAGATCCAGGACTGAGGCTGTAGATCCAGGACTGAGGCTGTAGATCTAGGACTGAGGCTGCAGATCCAGGACTGAGGCTGTAGATCCAGGACTGAGGCTGTAGATCCAGGACTGAGGTTGTAGATCCAGGACTGAGGCTGCAGATCCAGATGGAGTTTAGAATAGATTCAGTCCTCGGTTTTAGACCAAGGACTGAATCTATTCTAAACTTTATTACATTTGTGGCAGTGAATGAGTTTCTCTCAGCAGGCCTTGAAAAAGTAACAAAATAAAAACATAATAGCAGTGAACAGGACACTACAGAGAGGAGATAACACAATGACATGAACGTGCAGATTACAAATGACAGATTATTGATGTTCTGTTTGTGTGACAGAGCCGGGCTCGGGTTCTGGAGACTCGGACGGTAAGTGTACTTCTGACAGCCTGGGTGTGTGTGTCTCTGTATGTGTCTGTGTGTGTCTCTTTGTGTGTGTGGGTGCGTGTGTGTGTCTCTTTGTGTGTGGGTGTGTGTATCTCTGTGTGTAACCTCTGTTCCTTTACAGACACAGAGGGCTCCTCCTCAGACGGCAGCAGGAAGTTCACCAAGTGCAGCACATGTAAATATGGAGCTGAGTGTGACGAAGACTCCGAGGACGTGTGGTGAGGAAGCCTGCTCCAACTCCTTCTGGCTTCTATTGACTTACATGTAAAAGTCCTCTAGCTCTGTAACTGTTTGTGCCACAATCACAATTTTGGGCTAAAATGCTCTCTGTGATCCTGATGTTGTGGAGTGGTGTCCAGCTTGCCTTAGCCTCGGAAGAAATGCAGCTTCTTTTGCATTAAGGTGGTGTCACTCTCAGTCAGTCCTTGTGATGGTCAGAGGTTTTGAAGTAAAATACACCAAAATACAGTGATACAGTGCATCCTGATGCACTGTATCAGGAAGTCTCTGTGTCTCTGTGTTCCACCAGGTGCATCTGTAACCTGGACTGCAGCGGTCACAACCAGAACCCGGTTTGTGCCACAGACGGACACTCGTACTTTAACCCATGTTTGGTGCGAGAGGCGTCATGTATGAAGCAGGAGCAGATAGACGTGCAGCACCTGGGCTTTTGCACAGGTAGTCTCACACACACACACAGTCTGCAATACCGCGATCCCGACATATTATAATAGATCCATGACTCAGACACACGGACGTAGAGAGAGATAGAACCAGGACCAAGAGGGACTAAAGAAGGACCTGGTACTGGTTACACAGGACCAGTGGAAACACTCCCAATCAGGGTAGAGTAGAGTAGAGTAGAGTAGAGTAGAGTAGAGTAGAGTAGAGTAGAGTAGAGTAGAGTAGAGTAGAGTAGAGTAGAGTAGAGTAGAGTAGAGTAGAGTAGGGCTATTCACGGTTGAATCATGTAATGTCCCTCTTGTACCACCAGACGGGGGTGTTTCACTTATTTGTATTTTGTACGTTTATGTAAATAATGTAAATAAATATTATATGTTGCCTCAAAACCTATATCATTATTATTTGTAATATTATTTTGTATTACTATTATTATTATTTTGTTTAGACGCTCTTAGTCGTACAGGTATTATTCAAAACAAAGGAAGATTGCTCAACTATCCTCTGTACTTCAGTTAGAAGGATTATTATTATCATTATTATTTATTTATTGTGTTTGTATAAGATACAGGGCTGGAGCTGTAGATCCAGGACTGAGGCTGCTCTATAGTCCCTGTGCTCCATGGTCCCTGTGCTCTCGTGGGCCTGGTGGTCACTTTGGTCACGTGTGCATTGGTTTGTGTCCACAGCCGACAAGGAGAAGACGAGCAGGAAGGACGACAGCAGCCTCTCCAAAAGCCTGGGTGAGGATCAGCTGACCACTGCTTACAATGTGTCCTCTACATCAGTGTTTCCCCACCAAGGGGGACAGAGGGGTATTACAGGGCTTCTTCAGATGATTTTCAAAACGTGGAAACACTAAGAGTAAGAGGTCAATATGGAAATTAAGCTAATTATCTGAAGAAAACATTTATTCTGAACAATGATCCTGGAACAGAAATTACAATATCAACTGCTTCGCCCCAGTTTTTTAATAATTTGGTAAAAATGCCTAAAAACAAACTTTCCACAAAGAAAACAATGAGACCTTGGTATAACCGAGAACTCTAGTCGCTCATTCTGGTCTCTCTCTCTCTCTGGTCTCTCTCGCTCTCTCTGGCCTCCCTCTGTGGCCTTTCTCTCTGGTCTCTCTCTGGTCTCTGTCTCTGGTCTAATCTTGTGTACACTCTGCTGTAGATGGTGTAGTGGACCCGGGTGAGGGGCCTCGGTCCGGCTCCCCCGGCTCCCCCCTCCCCTGTCCCAACAGCTACGCCGCCTACTGCGTCCATGGTACCTGTGAGCTGCGGTACAGTAGCCCCGCCTGCAGGTCAGAGAGTGCACTGCAGCCTCTCTACTCTCACATTGTGAACACACACTGATAGACGTGTGCTGCTCATGGTTGCAGGTGTGACGCCGGGTACAAAGGGCCCCAGTGCTCAGAGCCGCAGGACTTCAACGTGCTCTACGTTGTCCCCAGTGGTCAGAAGCTGCATTACGTCCTGATTGCAGCCATCATCGGAGCCGTGCAGATCGCCATCATCGCCGCTGTGGTCCTGTGCATCACCAGGTACTCTGCTTTCTGACAAATACTCAGGACTCAGGTCTATTGTGTGCTCCCAGTGCACTTGTAGGAATTTTTAAGAAATGTTATGTAGATTTTTTATTTATGCCTTATTCTATACTTTACTTTTTAACTTGTTTACACAGAGAGTCAAAGCAATTTCCCAGTCTGTGACTTCTTGTTACTCACAAGGCCATAAAAGAATTCTGATTCTCTCTCTGGTCTCTATGGTTTTTCTCTGGTCTCACTCTGGTCTTACTCTGGTCTCTCTCTCTCTCTCTGATCTCTCTCTGGTCTCTCTGGTTTCTGGCAACACAAGGGAAAAATCGTGGTCTTGCGCACCACCAGGTACCAGTCTTTCTGAAAAAATATTCAGGACTCTCTCTCTCTCTCTCTGGTCTCTCTCTTTCTAGTCTATTTCTGGTCTCTCTGGTCTCATCAAATACATTTATTGAAGTCATAGAGGGTTTGCAGAATGTCTTTCAAACCTGAAGTGTTTTGTGTTTTTCAGAAAGTGTCCAAAGAACCAGCGAGGTCGCAGACACAAGCAGAACCTGGGCCACTTCCCCTCAGAGTCCAACTCACGCATGGTATAACCGCAGTGAGGGGGAGGACTGAGGGGGAGGTCTGTGGAGAGGGACTGTGGAGAAGGACTGTGGGGGAGGACTTTGGGGGAGGACATTGGGGGAGGTCTGAGGGGGAGGTCTGTGGAGAGGGACTGTGGGGGAGGACTGAGGGGGAGGTCTGAGGGGGAGGTCTGTGGAGAGGGACTGTGGGGGAGGACTGAGGGGGAGGACTGAGGGGGAGGTTTGAGGGGGAGGACTGTGGGGGAGGACGGAGGGTAGGACTGTTAGGGCCCCGGGTGTATTAAGGGTGATGCTTGGGGTCTGATTTGGACTCTAGGGTCTGGTTTGTACAATAGGGTCTGGTTTAGACTCTAGGGGCCCTTTCTTCTCTGGAACTTTGGACTGGGACCTTCTGGGACCTGCCTGGGACGACCCACACAGGATGGTCTGATCTGTTTGGTCCGATGTGGGATGTCATCTTTTGGACGCTGTAACTTCCAAAGTGTGTCTTGTAAATGATGAGTGTGTGTCTTCTGGGGTCGGGCCAAATGCTGTTACCAATTTATTTATACATTTCTAACTCCTCGTTTTTGAGGGGTGTTCACACTGGTCCGGTTCACTTTGACTGGACAGATTCTGCTTCACTTTGATGAAAAGATTGTAAATTGTGGAGATTTGAAACGTTCAGGCTGAAGCCACAGAAGAAAAAGGACCTACTTTGTTACTGTCAGTGTTTTGCCTTGTGCTTCATACCATTCATTAATCACTGTGCAGAGTGGTTAGCGTTCTCACTTCTCATAGAAAGGTCCTGGGTTTGAATCCCGGTCTGAGTTGGAATGTTCTTCCCATGTCTGCGTAGGTTTTCTCCGGTTTCCCCTACCATTAAAAACATGTTCAGCTCTGGTCCTGAAGAACATCAACATCTGGACATGGGCCCTGTTACTACAGCTGCTCCTGACCAAAAGTGGCCAAAATGACGTGCGCTGACATGCTTGCAATACCACCCCGGGCCGATGGGGGTGGACCCGGAATAAGAATTAGCCAATGCTAACATATAGCGTTGGCAGACCTCTCGAAAACTTCTTTACAGGACGGTCCAAAAGTTGGCTCTTGGCCCAAAGCTCCGTTCCACATGTGTGTCAATGCTGAGGGGGTGGATTTTTTTGGACCACTCTGGTTTAGTCGTTGTGAATTTTTGAAGGCACTCGTTCAAAAGAATGGGGCTCTCGCCGGCTGACGCATGCGCAGATGCGTTTTTTTCAGAATTTTCTTGTGGGTAGGACCACTCGCAGCCATTTTGGATAGCTCCAGCAGAGCACAATTTTTGGCCCATTAGTTTGAACGGCGGAGATAGGCGTGACTATGTCCGTTAATATATACAGTCACTGCCCCGACAGAGGCCCTAGTGTCCAAATGCAGAGGACACATTTGAGGACAATAAAGTTTAAAGGAAAAGAAAGAAAGAAAAAACGATGTGGTTATGAGCCGGTGGAAGAGGGTCCATCTCATATTGATGGAGATGGATCGGAACAATTGTGATTATTGTTATTTCTAAATGTCGAAGGATTTAAAACGTTCAGACTGTTTACGATCCGATACTCGAATACTATACTCGGATACTGTACAGTGATATGAGGTCGATGCTGATCCGTCTGTGGACAGCGTGAAGGAGGACTTTCCCGTCTCTTGGTATAAATGTCCATACTATTGCTGAATACCAGAGGATTTGAAAGTGTGAATGTAACTTCCTCCTGTTTGTTCAGACGACTGAATGTTTCTGCATTATTACTTAGAATGTAAAAAGCTGATCACCAAATTAATTTTCTCATGCCTGGATTCTTATGGTTTGTGTTGGCGCCAGTTGTGAGGGACACGATCACACAAACACACAACACACACTACACACGTGTACATAAAAAAAACCTAAAAAAAAACTACAAAAACTACAAATTAACCACATGCATACACTAAATAAACTCGGATTTCTTCTGTCGAGAAATCAGACGTTTCCTCAGGTTTTCCTACACTTCATATTAAATGACAGCACAGTAACTGGACACTAAGAGGGTTAAGATGTCACAGTCCAGACCACAATATTCCAGAGTAGGAGTTTCAAACCAGTTCCAGAAAGGGCCGGTGTGGCTGCAGGTTTTCATTCCAACCCATCAAGAGCTCACCAGAGTTGTGAGTGAGTCAATATTTCCTCCGAGAGACCTGAGAAAGTGGTTGAAGTTTGTGTTCTCCTGTTCACCTGGTCTTTCTCTCTGGCCTCTCTTTAGTCTCTCTCTGGTCTCTCTCTGGTCTGTCTCTGCATGGTCTCTCGCTGGTCTCTCTCTCTGGTCTCTCACTTGTCTGTCTCTGGTCTTTCTCTCTGGTCTCTCTCTGGTCGCTCTCTGGTCGCTCTCTGGCCTCTCTCTGGTCGCTCTCTGGCCTCTCTCTGGTTGCTCTCTGGCCTCTCTCTGGTCTCTCTCTCTCTCTCTGGAATGAAAACCTACAGCCACATCAGCCCTATCTGGGACCTGACACCCCTTCTCATGAGGCAACATGTTATGGTGCAGTTCTACACAAGAGCACAGTCCGCCTGAACCTGGAAGTCACACATACCATTCGGTTTTCTCCCATCACATACTGCCCAGGCCACACCTGCTTAGCAAAACCCCATCCACAGTAAAAGGTAGTCTCGTACTACATTCTGGAACCTGTTTAAGGCAACGACACCATCTTGAATCAGTCGCGTATACGTTTATTTAAGGTGTGTTTGTCCAAATGAAAATAACTGATTTTAACAGTGTGAGAGAACCAGACGTGTGCACATCGCATAGACTGTATACAGAGGGCAATGCTAACTCGCTAGCTCCATGCTAACCCGCTAGCTCAATGGAGCCCAACAGGGAATAGCTCAAGTTTGGCTCAAACACTCTCTGGCCCCTATTTACTTACATGTAACAGTAATATTCAGTAAATGTTTGTCACAATCAGCATTTTGGGCCATATAAGGATTGACCAATCTGATGCCTTCATGAGGGAAACGTCAGCTTCCCTTAGCAACCGTGATAGCAACATGTCTGCTCAGTCTATGGTGCACCCTGGTCCTCTTATTATACCCAGTTTGAGAGTGTCCTCTTGATCAGGGGTGTCTAAACTTTTTAGGGCCAGGTGCTGAGGTACAAAGTGACATTTACTTTTTTACCATTTTTGGCTTAAAATCTACTCTCTATATTTACAGTGTTATTATTTTGATAAAAAATCTGGATATGAGCCCTAGCAACTGACCAATCAGGAACCTTCTGTCCCAAATTATCCTTGCAAGTGGAACAGGTGTTACACCGGGAACAGCATAGCACAGCGTGATACCTGCCCGTTTGAGTTAGTCTCAGCACTCACCATGTCACAGGCTTCTCCGGCCACAGATCAAGTTAGCAATGATAAGTATGTACTTTTTCTCTTTACCCCTGTCATTGTAGCTCCGCCCCTTCCGTCTGAAAGCTCCTGTCTCAGTCCTGTAAAAGTATGTCATTGTACAACTGTGACATCACAATGACATCACAGTCAGTGCAGTTTTCTGCCTTTAAACAGAAATATTGCCCATCCATTAATTTAGGCCAATCGTAAGCTTTGACTGCAGACGCTGCTCTCCCTGGTGGCAGCATGGGGACTTACAGGCCAATACCATATTCTACCCTTCATACTTCACCGTACATTTTCTACTAAAGATGAGAAAAATAAAATATATTGTTTCACATAATAATAGCCAAAAATAGAGCGTAACATTTGTCCTTTAATTAAAAACAGTCTGTGGGGCGGGGCCTGACCCAAATGTGTAGAAGACAGAACGTGACCACAGTTTGGAGATGCCTGCTCTAGACCGTGTGAAAGTCCAGTCTGTGTTTGATGTTTGTGCGTGGAATGTTCAAAAGCACAGTCTCTCTCTGTTGCCTGTGGACCCTGGTCTCTGTGGTCCTTGGGCCCTGTAGGCTCTGGTCCCTGTGGGCCCTGGGCCCTGTGGGCTCTGGTCCCTGTGGGTCCTGATCCCTGTGAGCTTGGTCCTTGTGGGTCCTAACCCTTGTGGGCCCTGATCCCTGTGAGCCTGGTCCCTGTGGGCCCCTTGGTGGTATCTGGTGTCGTATTTGTTGTATTGTGTACTGTGTTATTTGTGACTTTTTTCTGCATGTTCTAAAATCGGTCTCAGGAGCCATTTTCAATCTTGACTTAATTAAAAAACTTTTGGAAAAAAAACAGTGACTTTCATGTTTTCTGTTCTTTGATGGTTGGGGTTCTAGAATTGTCACTCCCCCAATGACACTCCCCTACAGACACTCTCCCACAGACACACTTCCACAGACACTCTCCCACAGAAGATCTGCAGGGAAGAATGGGTCAAAATAGCAGCTACAGTGTGTGTCATGGTGCCGTTTTAAACCTGGGTCTGATCCCAATGCCTGGTGTCAGGAGTAGGTGCCATACCTGCCCTGGAGGAGAGGGCTGAGAGGGACAAGAAAGAATGGAAGGTCTGGCCCCCTCTGGGCCAGACCTGAGCAGAAAGGGCCAGAATAGACTGGGGTGACGGGCCGCTGGGCGATCGTCACAAAGCAGTGAACCTTTGTTTTTGGTCAAATGCTTGTTTTTCATTATTGATGAATTTCGCTGTTTGCCCTTTCTGTCAGAACTATCGGGACACTAACTAACTAATTAAAATTCAATAGATTTAATAATACGAGAATGATGGTCCGTGACTCCAGCTGAGAGTAGCTTCATCTACCTTTGTTTGGCCTCCATTCAAAGAGGAGTGTGTGGCGCCCTCTGCTGGAGATCAGTACACTGCACTTTGGGCGCACCGCCCAAAGCGTCAGGAGCAGACGAGGACGCGCAGCCACAGTGAGTATGTCTGGTATGTCTCTGTTAGGTAAATATCAGAATACAAATGTAGCGTACCAAACGGGAGAAGGATGAGAGACACAGAAAGAGGCAAATTGTAGTTGGAGACTCCCAAAAAGTGAGGTCCCCATTTATTTATAGAGGACCAAAACCCG